TTAAATATTTGAGCTTCCAATAGGCAACGGTTTGGGAACGATGGGCTAGAGCACTTGCCCTATTTTTTATTATATAAAATCAAGAACTTTGGATGAACCAACATTCATGAGAACAGCTGAATATAATATAGGACCTATTCTCCCCGGTGGATAGAGGTGTAAAACAGGCCGTGCTGGGTTGGTATGGCATGATCCATGTTTGGCTCGCACAAAATGTGGGTTAGTTTGCGGGTCATCTCAGGCCGTGCCTTTCTCCCCTGGAATATTTTTGGGGGTTGGCCTGGCATGGCCCACGGCCCAAGTCCACATAGGCCTGTGTCGGGCTAGGATGGGTCAGGTCGGGCCGTGTACTGGGACAATTATTTATTTTAAAAAACTGAAAATTTTAATTTTATATGAATTTTGATATATACAATAATTAAATAAAATAGTATAATATATATATATATATATATACATGCCAGTTACGGATTGTGTTGGCCCAGCCCGTTGACCTAAAACCCTAAGCTTGGCATGGTTCATCGGCCCATACAATCGTACCGGGCCGTGACAAGGCCCGTAAACCATCGGTGAGCCGGGCTAGGCTGACTCAAGATCGTGGCGAGCTGTGCCAGGCCATGGCGAGCTATGCCGGGCTAGGCTGACTCAACTATCTTGTCAAACTTTGCGGTCTGGATGTACTAGGCACGTTAGGTAACCACTATGAGTGAGCACTTAAAACCTGTGCAACACCTGTCCTAACTAATGCTCCTTCCATCTTAATGTTTTTGTGTTGTTTAAGAATTACCTATTATTTTATTAATTGTATCAAAATAATTAAAAATAAGAAAACAATAAAAAAGAAAACATGTCCCAACGCCTTTCTCTCCAACTTTCTGCCCTTTAGGGTTCTCCCACCTCTATACCTTCAGCCGCTGCAACCGGTTGGTTGGGGCCGCAGTTCTTGAAGCCCTCACCTACGATTTCATCTCAAGAAATCCATTCATCCAAACTCAGGTGACTATAGTCTATCATCGCTATATATGCTTTATAGTTTCAATTTATCTCCCACTTATGGTTTTCAATTTAAAAATTAAAAAAAAAACTTAAAATTTTAGTTTTATATGAATTTTGATGTATACAATTGTTTATATATACAATAATTAAATAAATTAGTATAGTAAAATTGAAAATAATTGTTTATTTTATTAATAGATTATTATATAATAATAATTTATATAATATATAAATATATATAAATAATATATATGGGTCGTGTTGAGTTGGGCGGCAGGCTGGGCGGTGCCGGCACACGGGTTGTGGAAGGCACGGTCCACTCGGTCATGCCGTGTCGGCCTAGCCCGCAGACCTAAAACCCCAACTGGCTGGCACAACCCACATGCCATCGTGTTGTGCCGTGCCAATCCAAACTTGACCCGATTTACATCTTCACGTTGAGGACGAATGGCAAATTAGAGAATTCAGTCTAGGCTACTATGGGAATGTTTTTTCTTGAACATTTTGTTTGAAAATTATAAATTCAAGTACATGATTTAATAAGTATGATATAAAGTAAAAATTGGTTTTATCTTTATGTCAGATACATTGAGATAGAGGTGTAAAACGGGTTGTGTCAGGCCGGCACGGCACAACCCACGGTCCATTTTGGGTCGTGCCACCCTCCCCTAGGATAACTTGGGGGGTTGGCCCAGCATGGCCCACCGGGCCAAAGCAATTGATGTATACAATTGCTTATATATATAATTAAATAAATTAGTATAATAAAATTGAAAATAATTGTTTATTTTATCAATAGATTATTATATAATTGTAATTTATATAATATATATAAATATATAAATAATATATATGGGTCGTGCTGGCACGTGGGCTGTGGAAGGAACGACTTGCCCGATCATGCTGTGTTGGCCCGACCTGCAGACCTTAAACCCCAAGCCTAGCACGACATGGACCATCTAGCCGGGCCTAGCACGATCCACATGCTATTGTGTCATGTCGTGCCAAGCCGGTCCAAACTTGGACCGATTTACACCTCTACCTTGAGGAAGAATAGAAAATTAGAGAATTTAATCTAGGCATAAGAAATATTCTCTAAAATTATAACATGTAATGCTTTATTATATATTAATTCTCTAAAATTAGAGCATTCACCAAAAATAAAAAACTTTTAACTAAATTACTAGTTTTTGCATAAATTATTTATTTTATGATATAATTAGCATATAAGAATTTTAATGCCTATGATATATTTGTCTAGTGGTTTTTGTTTATTGAGAAAGACAAAAAATATTACAATTCTAACAAACAAGACATAATTGCAAATACAGCGAATGAGAAAGAGAAACATAAGAGGTTTTCCTTTTCTGTTGGAGAGAAAGGAACTGGGACATGTTTTCCTTTTTTTGTTGTTTTGTTATTTTTAATTATTTTGATACAAATAATAAAATAATAGATAATTCCTAAGATGAAAAAAGCATTAGCCAGAACGGGTGTTGAACATAGGAAGCAGATTCTCTACTGACATGAGTACATGACTTAAGGTTTGTTCAACCATAATACTTTGTGTCATGTTGCACAAAAGATAAATATGTGCAAAAACAAATCACATACATAAAACATTGATATACAGTGAAGAGGCTCTTGCCCATCCGTGTAGGTTGTTCCTTCGGCCATAAGATACTAAGTTTATTCTTATCGAGGGCGTCTGGCCATTCATTCCAATTGATGCTGATGCACCAATAATTGCAAAATCTCTCACCTTAATCAGTGGGATGAAGGAGAAAATTTGAATGAAGGAATGCTACACCTCTGCAATGGATAAAAAGGCGAATGCCTTCCATCTTTGAGAAAATCTTAAATTCCATTATAACTTTCAGTGACATACTTTAAACATTGATCTACTTTTCAGAAAGAGCAAAAGTGATTCTTCATAAAGATATCATCTCTTCCTCTCCATCCTCTGTTCATGTGGCGCATTTTTCTCACAACTTATAGCAAATTGAGCATTTTCTTCATCAGTTATTCAATAAATACATTCAAATCTGGCTTGGGTCAAGACACTTAGGGTCGAATCCACAAATGTTAGACCCTAATTCTAAATGTTCAGATTAGAGTTGATCAACGGATTAATAAATGATTTAATTTCAAACACAATAAAAGAACATTTAACAATTCAAAGAGTAAACAATAAAGAGTAAAGAATAAAGTGTGGAAACTTCTAACAATATATAAATAATCCTAATTAGACCTGGCAATCAGGTCAGCAGATTGACCCATGACCCAACCCAGTTTTTTCCAAGTTGGATCGGGTTGGGCCATTCTCAAATTCAAGTTGCTAAGTATGAGAACCTAACCCTATTTTTTCAGATTAGGTTGGGTCAGATTTACAAGTCGTGTCAACTTTTTGCCAAGTCTTATTCCTATCACTTTATGAGCTAGACCTATTCATAACTGAGCTTGGCTTGGTTTTTGCCAAATTTCTAATTAGTCTGGAATCAGAATCGGAATTAATGGAGGATTCCAATTGTTTGGTTAGGCGGAATTGGAATCCTATCTTCATTCCTCCTGGAATGGCATTCCCCCATTTAATTAATGGATTGGCTATTCCCTTCTCTTCTTCTAGTAATGAGAATCCATTCCAGCCAATTCTGATTCCAATTTCAGTCTGAACCAAACATGTGAGGGAAATAGATCATTCTAATTTCGATTACAAAGTATTCTGCCAAATGGACCTTTATTACTTTTCCATACGTAGTAGAACCCATAACAAAAGGGAGAAGTAAGGATACACCCAATGTAGAAATCTGATTCTCAATGCACAAATATAAATATTCAAAGTCAAAAAACCACACCCTATGCATTCATACTTACCTTATTTTGAGTGGCACCTGCCCCACGTATACCTTTAATATACAAATTTTGACACTAGGGCATGGGCCGTTCTCCCTAAACAAAACAAAACATCACTATCTCCTGTCAAACAGTAATGATGGGCTGGGGTGTTGACGTTTTATTAGGAGAAAAAATTAGGAAGAATGACCATCCAGCACATATCAGAATTTTATAGCCTCAAATTAGAGGGGGAATGCATTGAATTGATGTCAAATTCACGGTAGGATGTGATTTATAGGGGGAGAGGGCTATCAGAATTCTGCATCGTACTTGTCCGAAAAAATTAAGGAAAAAGTACGAATACATACAATGCAGAATTCTGACTTCCAGCCACCCCCTTGGAGTAGCCCTCTCCCTCCCTATAAACCACATCCTGCCCGTGAATTTGACATCAATTCACGGTCAGGATGCATTCCCCATGTACTTTGTGGCTAGTACATTCTGAGCTGGGCTGATCGGTACTTCTCCCAAAAATTAAACAGCACTGATCTGTGTGAAGGACACGTTAGCATGGGTGTCGGTCAGTCATTCACATGGAGCTTCAAAATTAACCAAGCCTTTCCCTTTCATTGGGTCATGCAACTATCGATTCAAGCCAATTTTCTCTCGTTTTTCATTGGTAGTGGGGAGTTGGTCCAGTTAAAAAGTCCATAGACATGTTTTTTAGCTCGGTTTGGAAGGAGTAAATGCAAATATGTAATGTGCAAATACATATAAGATAATGCAAAATATAAGGTTTTGCATTCTACTTATTTGCATTTATAATCCTTTCAAAGTGAGCCTAAGAAACAAGTCTATTTTGTTTTCTGGTTAACAAGAAGTATATAATTAATTAAGTTCAGTCTGATCAGCTTGCTCGAACTGATGAGGAACGTGGAGTTGGGTTAGACTGGTAGTTGATAAAACTGGAAACTTCTGTTTAGAAATAGAAATTAAAACCCCAGAAACCCAACACTCCGAATTTCTCGCTTGTGGTGAAACAGACATGCACGTAGCAGTGAACCTTAAAGCTACTCAAAAACAACTTATAAATAACTGCTTTTGGTGGCACTGCACTGCAACTTAGCTAACTCCATTGTCTCTCTTCATGCACGCATGCTCTTGAAGATATGTTGAGTAATCCGGGTTTAAGAAAAGGTTCCTGGACTGAAGAAGAAGATATTCTTTTGAGGGAGTGCATTGAAAAGTATGGGGAGGGAAAATGGCATCGGGTTCCTGTTAGAGCAGGTGCGGTGTGCCGTATTTTCTTTGTTTTCTTTTTGCTAAATTATATTGCTGATGCAGAGAGAGAGAGAGAGAGAGATTCTCTTAATTAAAATAGTTGCAAATAAATATTTGTTGAAATTTCTTTCTCAATTCTTCTTGGGTTTCCAGGTCTGAAGAGATGCCGGAAGAGCTGTAGGCTGAGATGGTTGAACTACCTCAAACCAGATATCAAGAGAGGACAGTTCACGGCAGATGAAGTTGATCTCATTACCAGACTTCATAAGCTCTTAGGCAACAGGTAAATTCAAAGCCGTTTAGTTCAGCCCTGCAGCTTGAATGCCACAAAGAAATCAAACTAATTGTGATATTATTCCCTTGCATTAATTATTTCCTGAAATGGGTCCATTATCAAAGTATTGTAGGGGAGGTGAGTGAGTTCAGATTTCTTGAAAATGAATTGCTTCCCTAACTAATAATATGGAGAGTGGATTAGTTGAACTTGATAGCTGTGTTATGGGCAAGGTTCAAAATTCCACAACTATTTTGTTCTGACTTCTGATGACCAACTTGTGCCGGTACTGGAAACAAAGTTAGAGGAGCTGAGAGATCTCATTCCTTTTCGTCGTTTTAATTGAGCCTGTATTGGTGGCGTATCGTAGCGTTTCGGTTGCATATTTGCTATTACTGAAAGCCAAGATAAATTAATAGTGCAAAAGCGAAAATAAAAGGAAAGAGGAAACAAGAAGTCTAACCCTCTTTAGAATCCTTTCACACCTAAATTCTCCAAATCCTTTCTAAACTAAACACCCCAAATCTCTATATCTATAGAACAAAAAGACAAAAACATTAATGTTGTGTTTGGTTTGAAGGGAAAAGAAGGGAAAGACTTTACAAACTTTGTATAGATTTTTTTACCTTTTCCTTCAAACCAAATATAACCTAAAGTCTTTTCACCCCTTTTGGACTTGCTATGGGCGCATATGACCATCCCAACACTTATGTCAATTGGGAATCATGCCCACTTGCAACAAAAAGGTAAAAGGAAGGAAAAGTGGGAAAAGAAGAGGAGGAGGAGAAAAAGATATCGTCGTATTTTTTCAAAACAAAAGGTATATTCTCTTATTTAATTTTTTAGATATTTATATTTTTTATTTTGTAGTGTAGTATGTTTAAAGTGAATATATTTATTATTTGAAGAAATATAGTTATTATTTATATAAAAATTCTAAATAAATAATTTTCTCCGAAGAATAACAAAAGTTGAAAATTATAATGTTTAATAAAAATAAAATAAATGCTTAAATGTTGAACTTTTTATTAGTGTTATTGTATGGTATGTACATGTTCTAGAGTCCTGTTATTGTTGATTGTAATATTTCTCTTTATATACCCTATTAAAATGTGTATTTCTCATGTGTTTATACCTTATTTTTAATTCATCTTTATATTTACTGTTATTAATGTACTTATGTGATTTGTATGGATTTCTCTACCATATCCAGGTGTCTTCATATGTTTTGCTTGTATCCGTGTGTTTTCAAAGTGTATCCGTATATGAGCTCTCCAATGCAATGCAATACCCATTACTAAAACATTGAGCCTTGGCTATAAATAGATTTATGGGTTTTGAATTGAAAATTGGGAAAAATAAATTAACTAATAAAATAGATTTATTTTTTATTTTTTTTTATTTTGGTGTGATCTCATCATAAGAAATGATCATATAGTAGATCTACAAATGATCTATCATGTCCATAAATTTATTAAAATTTCTTGTTTAGTATTTATTTTTTTTCTAAAATTTTGAAGGAAACAGTTACGTAATAATTATTATAAAAAAATTATCAATAGCATATTCACTTATAAATTGTTTGAGTATATCTTTGATGGTGGTGAAGATAATTGGATTCTTAATTAGATATAAGATTTTTAGTGAAAATTAAAAAAATAAACAAAATTATATAAAAAGTAGAAATTTATGTGATGATACATAATAATTATAATGTGGATCTATGGATAATCTATCATTTCCATAAACCCACTAAAAGTTTATATAAAAATTTAATTTTTTGAACTAAAAATAAATAAAAAATAACTATTTGAGTACTAAATAATTACCATTTTTTTCTTATAAATGGTTTCTATATTGGGAAGTTAGATAATTAGATTGGTTGCCTTTAGCTTTTTATAAGTACACACACATATATATATATATATATATATATATATATAAATTGTTTTTAAGAGTACAAGAACAAGTTATTATTTTAATTTTGAAATTTAAAACACTTAGAATTAGACAATTAGATTAATAGTTGAGTTTGAATGTAAACATGTTAATAAGTATTTATTTCTTAGATTTATCATTTATGAGTGTTTTAAATTTTAAAATTTTAATTAATTTATATGCATATAAAATATATGCTCCCGTATGTCGATTATGATATGTTTCTATGGTGTAGGTTTTATTTAAGCTTTATATATATATATATAGTGTTATTGATATATTTATATGATTTATTAAAATATCTATAGTAGTGTATTATGCTTATTTTGATTTTTTATTCCGATCCGTATGGGTTCAAGGCATACTCCAACACATCTCCTAAAATTCGCTTTTCCATTACACACTCTGTGTTTTTGATATTTTGAAGGTCATGCAAAGTGAGAGATTGAAAAATTCATTTTGGCTGTGTTTTTGATATTTATCTTTTTTTGTCCACATTCATCATGAGATGTCATTTGCAGCAGTCTACCAAAACAGGCCAATTAATTTTAATTGGAGAAAGTCAATAATAACACTCAATGGATGCCAGCTGTAAAGTGTATGACTCAGAACCACTCAACTCAACTTGTCACTTGGTATTTAATTTACGGCTAAGCATGCGTGGGCGTTGATAATTGGTCACACGTACAGCTCATCATAGCCCATGATTCATATACTGCTAGTTAGGGGAAACCGGATTTTTGAAAGGCAAAACAAAAAGGATAGGAATGGAACCGAAATTACGTTTTCATTTCATTGATTCCAAAAGGCAAAAGCAAAGCTTTGAAACCAAATTATCTTTTTCTATTATTGTTTCTCAGGTGGTCATTAATTGCGGGTAGACTTCCCGGGAGGACAGCAAATGATATCAAGAACTACTGCAATACGCGGATGCGCAAAAACAAGGTCTCCCCTCGAAAAGAAAAAGAGACGACGGATGACAAAATTGTAACTCAGAAGACCAAAGTTTTCAGGCCTCGGCCTCTGAATTTCTGCAAAAATTCTCCATGCTTCCTGAGAAGGATGGCTGATTCTACAAGTGTAGGTGCTGTTAGTCATCCTCAAACAGGAGAAGAAATGCCTAGTAATAATAATAATAATAATAATAATGAAGTGTTTCTTAGTCTAGATCTTCCACCTCCTACAGATGAGGCTTTACCATGGTGGAAGAGTATCTTAGCTGGGTGTGAAAATGAAATAGTAGGGGACAATGGGATCTCATGCTCCATTAGTGGTGGTAGTTCTGAACAAGATGTTGAGCTACTACTTAAAAGCCTCTGGGCTGAAGAATGGACCCAAAAATGCTGGTCATGAAGCACACTTCCCTGGAAATAGGCTGTAATGATTGGGATAACTTGTCATTAGACAATGGAAATATTTGGGATCTTCTATTATAGCAAAAACAAGGACACTTCAATTTATAATTTGGTTTTCATGCCTTATTTGTCCTTTTTCACTTTTCTTGGACTATTCTTGCTCATTTTAACTTGCCAAGCTATATTAATTTTGAGCATTTATTAAATGAAAATTTTCTGTTAGGGCTTATTCAAAAATTAAACATGCCAAGTTATTGGGTTTACTTGTTCCCAAACCTCATGAGACCCCCTAGGCTCTCAACTATAGTAACTAAACCTAAAACCTAGATACGTGATTTGACAAATCTTATATGAAGTTCAGGTCTTAATTGGGTCCAAACAGCTAAAATCAATCATGACCCTGTTAAAATCTCAACTCAACTCACAATTCGCACACCCACAAGTAGTAGTTATTCTATTAATATCAAGACTCAAACCCTTCGAGTTTGGCCCTCACCACTGATAGCCCTAATAAAGATACATGCAAATTTACAATTATCAATACATTGTCTCTCTCCATAATCCATATGAATTGGTCTTCTAGTACTTGCATAGATAGAGATAGGGTGGCCTTCATCGCTAGATCATGTGGTGCACCGTGTCGAGCTCAACGTTTAAAGCTATAAAACTGACAACATATTCGCCCTCTTAAGTTTTAGATTAGAGGGTGAAATACCTTTCTCACTCCTCAGTCTCCTGACAATTTATATTTTACTTTACCCTTGTCAGGGAGCTGAGTGCCTTTGGTAATAGAGTTCATTGTGAACAATGTGGGAGGTTGAAAATTCTTGATATAATCATATAATACATAGAGATTAGCACGTAGTTTTTAATTTTTATATTTAAAGTATATATAGTGGATTGATTTTGTAAACCAATGTTTTGAAAACCGATTTGGAGGTTAATGGTTAGACCATCGGTTCGAATGGATGATTCGTTGCAATTAAAAAAAAAAAAATTAAAACAAAGAAGTGGCAGAACATTGTTTTCAGCTAGATCTGTTCCTTACACAGCACGTCTCACACTGACCGACCTTACAGCGAGTTCACATCTCAGCGTGCATTAGGATTACACTGTTGATGGTTGGGATGAATTATGGAGCATGTTTTGTGGAGCGCAGATGTGAATTCACTTACAAGCACATCAACCCATGTATTGGGAATATTTCTCATGAATAATAACATATATGTATCGGAGATATTTCTGATACATGGTGGAATTAATGTACTTGTAAGGTTGGTATAAAGTTTACTCTGAAGAGAAGATAAATAATAACAACCAAGAGAAATCCAATTACAATAAAAATAATGAAATCCAAGCAAAGACAAATGAAAATAAGCATCACTAAGAATATAAAGAATTTACGTGCTTTACCCTTATTGTCTGCGTCCATGGGAGAGACGAAAACTGTATTTCACTATGAAAGAAAATGAGAAACAGTACAGGTACCTTGTAGTTTGAATCTCAAACCAACCCTTAATCATTGTACACCCGTTCTTCCATTCCTTTTTCAACCTAAAGAACAAAAACAAGAGAGAAACCCTACTCTTACACCAAGAGCATCATTTCTCTTTTTTTCTTCTCAATGTCACTCTCTACCCTATATACAAAAGAAACCTTTTATATGTAAGACCCTCTTTAATATAAAAAGGGACCACACCAACCATTAAATTAAAAATAGTCCAACGGTTGAAAAGTAAGACACAACCACAACAATCTCTATCTTTGCTTATTTTTCGACCACTTTGAGAATCTATTTTTTGTACTTCCACCTGTTAGCAAGTACCACAAACGTCCATTGGCCTTGTAAAACAGCACCAACTACCCACAACTTGAACCACTTGGTCTTAACTCCAGCTGGTTCAAACAAAACGACCAATGTACCTGTATAACTGCACCTGAGCTAATGGTTCTAGTTCACTTCAGAGAGGGACCTTGATCCTTTCTCTCTCCCAGTAGGAATATTTCTCTCACCATCATCTATACCTTGAAAACTTGTAGCACTTGTCTTTGTCCTATCTATGAAAGAGACTATTCATGTGGTCGCACTACCTTGCGCACTTCGTTTCCAACATCTCATCGAGGTCATAGGAACCACTATACTCCCAATTAGATGATACAAACCCTTGCATTTTCTCCCTTCATCAGGATCATACCGTCGCGTATGATTTTCATGACTCCACGCACTTGCAACAAAAACCTTGTAACCCTTAGAATCCAACTGGCTCAATGATATTAAATTCCTATACATTTTGGGACATATGCCACACCACCCAAAGTACGAACCTCTCCATCAAACATTTTGATTTTCATTGTCCCAACACCCGTGATGTTACACGTAGATCCATCACTCAAGGAGACAACATCTCTCTTCCTCTCTTGGAACATATCAAAATATTCCTTCCTATAGCATTTGGAGAAAATTTGCACATACCTTCGAAGACTTAAGAATGTCTCCATTATCATATGTTGCAATTGCCATGCTTCTAGATTTATCCTCGCCCCTTTTTCATGCAGGACAATCTCTCTTCATGTGACCAAATTTCTTGCATATATAACATTGTACTTTGCCATTTTCCCTGACCTTGAATCTAGGTTTGTTGCTCTCAGATCCCCTATCAGATTAACTTGATGAGCATGTGGGGAACTCTACCTTGATCGACATCAAAGTACTGCTTAGTAATTATATATCACATGCATGCAAGTGGAAGAATTAATGTCTCATTTTTGGATGTAAATTCAATGTAGTCTCCCCTTGATCCATCTAGAAGGCAATCCCTCTTGAAGCCCTTGTCAACGCACCTTCCCCAATTCTTTCAGATCCCCTAAACCTATCGTTAACTAACCAACTTTATAACTGGAAGCAACTAGGATAAACTCCCTCAATATCTCCTATTAAACATCTACGTAAACTACACTCCCTCTCTCTAACCCCTGAGCCTTCAACACACACCCTTGGGCCTACCATTAACACATATGAATAATCTTTTTTAATAAATCACACACACACACACACACACACATATTGATTCACCAATTGAGCCCAGGTCCAACCTAAGTACATCAATTTTTAGTGTGAACTAGCTTGGGTTGGATAAATTGGGCTTAACTTCGGGTTCAAGCTAGGCTTGGGATTTAGGCTCAAATTTTAGGGTTGGGCATAGATTGAGATAAATCCTAGCCCAATCTACCCAACTTGCACCCTTAATACTGATGAAAAGAAAAGAGACCATCCGTGGTATATATCTATACTATTATAAAAAGTATAAATGAGGGTGTGGAACTTAACTAAAATGCCCACATTTGTTATTTAATCCATCTCTAATTATGAATGTTGAAAATGTGATTTCAATTAATGCTTTTCACCTCTTTTAATCCCATGTCATTAGCTCTTAAATTTAAGGTATTAATTCACATTCTCTCTTATTAAATTCTACATTTAACTTATTTTTTTACTAATAAATGCTTTTAATTAGACCTATGTCCAATACTTTTAACAATATAAACCCATATAATTTAAAACTTGCTTAAAAATAAAACCATTCTTTACCCAAACTAAGCAATTCAACCATCCAAATCAAATTGGTCAACCCATGAAGTCATAGTTAGATAATAGAATTTTTAAATATAAACAAATATAAAAAATTACAAAAATGTGGAAAAATAGACACATTTATGATATCTTTTAATCAAATTAAAATAAATAAGTGTAATAAACATGAATTATTTTTATTGATGATGAAAATAAAACACATAATCTAAAACTAACCAAAAATGAAATTATTTTCCTGTTTAGCGGAGATTAATAGTTAAATAATAATAATAATAATAATTAAATGTCATAATTAATTATTTTATGTGTTCCATGCTGAAAAAATAAAATATAAAAAACATAAAAATGAAAAAAATACATAAATTTTGCAAAAAAAAAAAACATTTAGGCACATGTACAATATCATATATTTATCATATCAATAAAAAAAATGTGCACATCTATAACTAAAATTGTGGAACTTTCTTTTGACTAAAATACTCATTTTTGAAATTTAATTCCTATTTAATTGTGAGGTTTAAAATGTAGTTTAAACTACAATTTTCACCTCATTCAATTTCCTTTCTTTAAATATTACATTTTTTTGATAAATGAACAATAAAAATACAGTACTAGATAAGAAGATAAAGCATTACAAAAAGAAGAGTCCGGCAAGTATGTGGGCTATCAATGATACCCAAAACTTTTCAGCCTAATATAAAGTTCTTACATAATCAGACTCGAATTTTGCAATCTGCATTTGATTAATAATAAAAAACAAAAAATATATGAATTTTATAAAAAAATTTGGATATATTATTATCACTATCTAAAATTCCCATGTGCATATTATCATAAAAAGTAAAAACAAAAGAGTGTTTTATCTTTTATATAAAACATTTTTTACTTTTTTTTTAACAATGATGAACGTCTCTAACTTCACAAAAAATAGGATGAAATTCTATTTGTTTCATGTACGAGGGTTTTCTTATGCCAACCAATGAAATGAACCCACATAAAAAATTATTCTGCATCACATTAAATGCGCAATTGAGGTGAGACAGGAATAGAGCCTACCAGAGTTTATTAATTTAGATTCTTCGGGGTACTACTGTACTAGATAATACAACATTACAACGTGTCACTGACACCGTGTCAGGGACAATACAGGACCAATTGATAAAAAATTGTTCCACGTCACATTAAATGTTAATGGGTGTGAAAACATTTAATTATTTGCAAATAATTTCTTAAGAAGTACTAAATTATTTAATAATTAGTAAAATAATATCTCAAAGAGTACTAAAATAATTAATAATTAATTAAAAATAAAATATTTAATAATTAATACAAATAAAAATGATAAAAAAATTAAAAGTTACAAAATATTTAATAATTAAGAACTCTAGTTCTATGGCACTCATCTA